ACACACACACACACTCATACTCGCACAGACACACACACACACACACACACACACAGTATAACAGACTCGGTGTAAAGGAGGAAGCATGTGTAATAAATTATTGACAACAACAGCGATAATATCAGTGTTTGACAGCGAGTGAAAATATCCTGCATCTGAGACACTTTCACTCAATACTGAGAATAAAATGAGGAAAATATTATGTGTGTATTATATGTGATGTTTTAGATCGCACACATGGAGTCCTTTCTGTGGAAATCACAAACGGAGACACAGTCCATCGATCCTTCCACACAGACACATGGGTCCTTCATTTTTGGATTAACTAATTAAATATTATTATAAACATTAATGAGTTTTCATTTCTTTCAAGGTTTCAGTTTTATTGTATTTTTTAGTTAAAATAAATAATAAATAATTGTCAAAGATTAGAATCAAAGTGAAAACATCTCAATAGCGCCATAATACTGGTAATACTGGTTTATAAGGATTATGATACACAGTGCTCAGAGTCTACAGTGTAATATATGAAGTGAATCATGTGAATCATGCCTCATATTTCATTCAGATGTTTTACTCTGAAGTGTGTTTATGATTTTTCAGCAAGATCCTGTCTGGTCACTGCTATTACAGCTGTTGTTTTTAAGGAACTGTTTTGAATGCAGTTGTTAGTCCACATTTATTAAAGGCAGTGCAACAGCACTATATTGTCATGATGAATAAAAACTGTGCGTGCGTGTGTGTGTGTGTGTGTGTGTGTCAGACGTTGGTGAAAGTGGTCGAGGGCTGGAAGAAACACGATCAGGAGCGAAACGAGGAGATGAAACATCTGCAGGTGGAGAAGGAGATGGCAGAGAGAACATGCAACACACACAAACAGGTACACACACAAACGTACACTAATTAAGTGACGGATTTTCAGCACAGCACAGGGGGTTAATTGTGTGTGTGTGTGTGTGTGTTTCTTAGGCTCTGTCCCGTGTTGAGCAGAATCTCTCTCAGGTAGAAGAAAAACTAAACCAGGAGCAGAAACACAAGCAGGAGCTGCAGAAGACCAACAAACACCTGGTAACTCTCTCTCTCTCTCTCACACACACACTCACACACACACACACACACACACACACACACACACACACAGCGTTCATTCTCCGTGATGGTGATGATTAGGGTTGGGTATCGTTTGAATTATCGATTCTGATTATTTTCGATTCCCAGTTTCGATTGTGATTAAATGTGATTAAATAATGATATCAATTTGTCCTGTGCCTCTTTTTTGCAAATCATTTAGTTGCACCTGAATGCAATGAACAAAAATCAACAGGCTACATAAAAACTGGACTCTTTAAGAGCTGTTTGTGTGCAAAATAGAACTGCATGATTCTAGATAAATGGAGTTTTTTTTTTTTCCTCAATGGAAGTTGTGGTTCTCTCATGATAGCGCGATCGCAGATTTAATTGTTCAAAACACACTGATGTGATCGTACGCTGCACGGACGAACCAACAAGTGATCACAACATTGATCGCACACATCAAAAGTTGAGGAATGAAACACAAATCATTGTAATTTAGGAATATACAATTACGTGTTCGCGATCTTTAACGATCTATTAAATTAAAGTGCTTTGTCATGTTGGTGATGACGCCTCTCTTGCAACATGTTTAGCTATCACAGATATTATACTTAGCTTTTTTGGCTTCTGATCGCAAATGTAGCCAAACTTTGAGTTTATCACAAATATTACTTAGCTTTTTTGGCTTCTGATTGCAAGTGTAGCTAAACTTTGGAGCGCTTAGATTACCGAGCAAGGTCCTGGCAGATCGCTAGGTCCGGTCCTCACAGATGAAGAAAAAAAAAAAAGTGCATAGGAATCGAAATTTTAATTTGACAAGTATCCGTTTCTGGAATTGGAATTGATTTTTGATTCCCAATCCTAGTGATGATGATGATTGATGATGATGGTGGTGGTGATGGTAATGTGGTGATTAGGGATGGAACTACAGCCTCACGTGTGCGCCACATCTCTGAGTGTAACCGGTGTAAACTAGTAGGTGTGTTCGACTTGACGCAGACCGATGGATGTATTACAGTACCACGAGAGCTATAAAGAGCAGACTGCTCCGTGTGCTTTCGAATCGCTCTCGCGGATGTCAAACACTGATCAATCTGCGCCGCGCCTCTAGTCGAACACACCGGCTAGTGCTGCAGGCTTATTGGCTCACTGACGCTGATGAGATTAACCCCTTAGGTATCGAAATTTGGTACCGAACGACGAGACGTTTTTCTATACTCGATGGTATCGAGGCAATTCGGTTGGTGCCTAAAAAGTATCGAACTCGATACCCAGCCCTAATGATGATGATGGTGGTGATAGTGATGATGTGATGGTGATGATCGTGATTGATGATGATGGTGATAGTGATGATGATGATGGTGGTGATAGTGATGATAAGGTTGATGATGGTGATAGTGATGATGATGATGGTGATGATTGATGATAGTGATGGTGATGATAGTGATGATAAGGTTGATGATGGTGATAGTGATGATGATGATGGTGATGATTGATGATAGTGATGGTGATGATGGTAACGTGGTGATGGTGGTGATAGTGATGATAAGCCACATCTCTGAGTGTAACCGGTGTAAACTAGTAGGTGTGTTCGACTTGACGCAGACCGATGGATGTATTACAGTACCACGAGAGCTATAAAGAGCAGACTGCTCCGTGTGCTTTCGAATCGCTCTCGCGGATGTCAAACACTGATCAATCTGCGCCGCGCCTCTAGTCGAACACACCGGCTAGTGCTGCAGGCTTATTGGCTCACTGACGCTGATGAGATTAACCCCTTAGGTATCGAAATTTGGTACCGAACGACGAGACGTTTTTCTATACTCGATGGTATCGAGGCAATTCGGTTGGTGCCTAAAAAGTATCGAACTCGATACCCAGCCCTAATGATGATGATGGTGGTGATAGTGATGATGTGATGGTGATGATCGTGATTGATGATGATGGTGATAGTGATGATGATGATGGTGATGATTGATGATAGTGATGGTGATGTGATGGTGATGATTGTGATTGATGATGATGGTGATGATGATGATGGTGGTGATAGTGATGATAAGGTTGATGATGGTGATAGTGATGATAATGATTGATGATGGTGGTGGTGATGATGATGATGGTGATGATGATGATGGTGGTGATAGTGATAATGATGGTGATGATGATGGTAGGCCTGGGCGATAAAACGGTATCGATATTTATCGACGGTACACCTTCGATACCGATATTAAAAATGTTCGATATAGTGCACGATATAGGCACGTGCTATGAGTGACACAGACAGCACACACAAACACGAACACATGCTGAATTGAGTGCTGTGCTGCCTGTGATGAGGAGATTGTGAATAAAAAAAATTATATTAGTCGAATTTAAAATAAACATTTGCATTTGA